GGGTTTAGGGGAGAGCTCAATTGAGTCTCTGCTTTCACTCCACTATGTTGGCTCTATCTTTAATATTGTTTGGAGGATAATTTTGGGGAACTCAGGAAAGTCTCTACCTTTACCCTGCTACCTTGATTCAACTCCCTCAACACAGTTTAAAGAATGTCCTAGAGCCAGTGAATTTTGGACTCATTTCTTTCCATGGACTTTAGGACGTGCCCAGAAGGAAAATTTCTTTTGTGAAGCAGCTAGCCAGGGGTGGGGATCCTGTGACCTTGAAGCCACATGTGGCCCGCTAGGTCCTCAAGTGCAGCCCTTTGACTGAATCCAAACTTCACAGAACAAATCCCCTTAATAAAAGAATTTGTTCCATAAAACTTGGACTCAGTCAAAAGGCTGCACCCAAGGACCTATGGCCTTGAGGACACAAGTTCCCCACCCCTGAGCTAGGCAGAGTGAATAAAGAGAACTGAACTTGAAATCAGGAAGAACTGAGGTCAAATCTTGCCTCAGACACTCATGAGCTGTGTGATCCTAGTCAAGCCATGGGGTTGCTACTAAGATTAACCAAGGTAACACACTCAATGCACCTTTAAAGTGCTATTCAAACGTAAGCTATGATTAGAAGCTTTAATCCTAGGGCCTTAGCTCTAGGAAAGTAGTAGGCTTGTCTGTAGCCTAGACTGCAGAATACAGCCTCACCTTGTGGTAGCAATGTAAGGAAGCCTCATCAGTTTTGTCCCCTCTCAAAACACTCAAGGGAACTGACTATACTGTGCAAAATGGGCTTTCACACCATAATTTACTCCCCTTGCCAACCCTCAACCCCTGCTTTTGTCATGCCATAGGGAAAAGCCTGGAAAGGTCCTTTGGCACCACACAACTTATTCTCTGTTTTCCTTTCTCTCTCCAGTTTCTTCCTCCTTTCTATTTCTTTTCTTTTTTTTCATCTGTCTTCTCTAACTCCCCTATTACAGAAGTAAATGTTTATTGAGCATCTTCTGGTGCTATGTTGGAGGAAACCAAACAAATATTTTTGTTGATTTCCCCTTTCAAGTACCACCCAAGTATTCTGCTACTCATATCAATAAAAATACCCTCCCAGAATAATATTCCACAAATTTTTTTTAACAGCATTAACCCCTCCCCCTCCATTGCTTCTCTCTTCTTTTTTCTTCCCTTGAGTTATGGTTCATTGTCAGTCCCACAATCAGGCAAGCAAGTAAGTATTTAGTGATAACTTATTATGGTCCAGGCACCTTGTTAGATACTGGAAATACAATTACAAAAAGAAAAAAAGAAAAAATCCATACTCTCTAGGAATTTACAGTCTAATGGGAGACAAATGTACAAAATAAACCTTTAATACTATAAAGAGATAGAAGTAAGGTGGGGCTACTGCAATTGTCTGGTTTTCTTTGTCTGACCAAGAAATACTGGAATAAAATTTAAAATCTGAAAGGAAAGGAAATGCTAAATGTGAAGACTCTATTTCAGTCACTTTACAAACAATCTCTCCTATCACACCTCTGTCCATCTGTCTGTCTCTCTGGAGTTTTATGTTCCTTTCTGGGAGGGAAAAGATTCAAGAAAAGGAAAACAAGGGTGTCCAAGATGGGGAGGAGATTCAAAATAATTTAATAGGAGAACTGATAGAAGGAAATGGGAAATGAATAATACATAAATGCTAGAGAGCTGATATGTGGAATTGGCCTCTACAGAAGTCCTACTCCAGTGCATCATTTTGGCATGGAAGTGACCTAGACCATGTCTATAAAATGTAAATTCTTGACAGATTCTACCAGAAACTAGAAAGGCGTCAGAGATGGTCCAAAAGACTACTTCTATAGCCTGAACACTAGCCTAGCCAAGCCTGGAGAGGCATATTTCCAGTGTGCTAGTCACTAGGTAATAAATTCTTTGGAAATGACAATCCATCCAGTAGACTGACATGCTTAGCTAGATTTAATAGCACAGACTAAAGAGGCCTATGAAAGTGGCTTTCAAAAGACTAAATGTGTTTCATGACTCATGCTTTGTAACTAAGTCTACCTTGTATTAATGCAGTTTTCTTTCTAGAACTGAATAGACAAACATAAAATAAGTTTGCTCATCAGAAGTTTCATTACAAAAAAATGGACTTTGTTCTCTCTTTATATGGTTGTAGATGATTAGTATGTTATTCTAGTTCTGCCAATCTTCCTGTGCATCACTGCATACAAGTCTTTTTATGTTACTTTGCATTATTTGTATTGTCCATTTCTATAGTGTTATAATATTCCATTAAGAGGCACCACGATGTGTAGATAGAAGGCTGATTTTGAAGTCAGAAACACTTGAGTTGGTCTCTAGTCTTTGTCCTATGCTGATTGTGTAACTCCTCCCCAGTCAGCTCTTGAAGACTATAAGTTAAACCCACGCCCGACAGCCCTGGGCATCATCTCTTAAATCTTAGGTTTTGGCTTATATCTAGGATCTCCCCAAACCAGAAAGAAAAAAGATACTAAAAGTACACTGTAAATCAGGTATTTGTTAGCTATTTATTTATTGGGATATATGAGATTATATGAACACGGAGGAAGATATGTGAAGGAGTGGGCATCAAATGATCTTTAGTGTTATCTGAACCAAAGGTAGACTGAAAAAATACACACAGTTTGGTGTAGAAATCCATCTAACTCAACAGGGAAACATACAGGGATAGGGATGATAGAGTTAAGAAGCAGGATGATACTGGGAAGGAAGTAGTCACAAATAAAACACACATCCTAGTCTGTAAGGGGGGCTGTGTAGAGGGAAAAAAAAGAATTAGAAGGTAAGGAGGTGTCTTAGATTGCTATTTTGACTGGAAATAGCTGAACAGATTGTGGTTTACGAATGCAATGGAACAGTATTGCCCCATAAGGAATAATGAAAAAAATTATTTCCAAGAATCTCAGTTAGTATGAACTGATGCAAAAGGAAGTGAGTAGAACTAGAACCATTTTTTTTTCAAGGATAGCAATATGTAAAGGAAAATAACTTTGAAAGACTTAAGAACTCTGGTGAATTTAAATGACCAATTGTATTTCTATAAGACCTATGATGAAACATGTTACCCACCTCCTGGCAGAGAGGTAATGGACATGAGGTACACACACACACACACACACACACACACACATATATATATATATATATAATGTGGATATATGGACATGGCCATTCATTTTGCTTGATTATGCTTATTTGTTATAAGGGTTTCTTTATTATTTGCTAATGGAAAGAGAGATTAAAATTAATTGGAAACTAATCATATAAAATAAGTGGGTCAAAGAACAAATTATAGAAACAATAGATAATTTCATTAAAGAAAATGACAGGGAGGCAGGCAGGTGGCAAAGTGGATAGAGCTCTGGCCTTGGGTCAGGAGGACCTGAGTTCAAATCCAGCCTCAGACACTTGACACTTACTAGCTGTGTGACCCTGGGTAAGTCACTTAACTCTGATTGCCTCACCAAAAAAAAAAAAGAAAGAAAGAAAATGACAACAATGAGACAACTTACCAAAATTTATGGGATGCAGCCAAAGCAGTATTTAGGGGAAAAAATCTCAAATTGCTTACATCAACAAAACAGAGAAAAAGCAGATCAATGAATTGGGCATGCAACTTAAAAAAAACAAAAACCAACAAACAGAAAAAGAACAAACTAAAAATCCTCAATTAGTCACCAAATTGGAAATCCTGAGATTAATCAAGTGAGAAATTAATAAAACTGAAAGGAAGAAAAATCATTGAACTAACAAAACTAGAAGCTGGTTTCATGAAAAAAAGTAACTATAATTAAAAAAAACCATAAAAACCTTAATAAAACCAAAATAAAATAGACAAACCATTGCTTAATTTTATTAAAAAAAAGGAAAGAAGAAAACCTAATTAATAGTATCTTTATTGGTTTGTTAAAGGGTTTTTAATTCATAAGAGGAGGAAAGAAGAAGGGCTTAGCAAAATGTTGCCAAATTAAAGAGGGCCATTGTAACATTTTTTTAAATCAGACAAAATGGAACAAATGGAACAGAAAGGAAGTTCTGAAAGACAAGCAGGAGGGTTGTGAAGATGTATAGAACTTATTATTTACCTTTATTTTTTAAAGAAAAAAGTTACAGATTAAATGCAGGGTCATGGCTTCATCCAGAATTCTTTTTTTGTGTTCTGCCATTTGTATAGAAATGATCTTTTATGACTTTCACGTTCAGAATTTTAAAAAAATGAATAAGGAAGACTACTCCACACCACCTCACACATACCATGTGTAAGGCAATAGGGATCCAGTGATTAAAATAATAATAATAATAAAGTTCCTGTCTTGAGAGATTTATAATTTCTTATACTGTGACATATAAGTATGATCTGATAAACCCCCCCCACTTTTTCCCCCTTCCTATGTGTCCTAATAGGCCTCTCTCCTTTTTGTAAACTTTATTTTTAAAATTAATTTTAAGGGAATTTCTATTTTCTTTCCCTGAAAAAAAAAACAAGAAAGAAAGAAAGAAAGAAAAGACAGAAAGAAAGAAAGAAAGGAAGAAAGGAAGGAAGGAAGGAAGGAAGGAAAAACAAGACCCTTGTAATAAATAAGCACAGTCAAAGTAAAACAAATTCCCAGGCTGGCCATGCCTCCAAAATAGATGGCTCAAATCTGCACCCCAAGTCCATCCCCTCCCTGCCAGGAGGTGGTGGGGTGCTCTGGAACCGAACCGTGGCCCCAACAGATATTTCCATATGGCTTTCTTCCCCTCCCCCTCCCCCTCCCCCAGATCTTCCTCGCGCCAGGTACAACGGTCCCGGTGCCCAACGTGCTCCAGCCAGTGTTGCAGCCCTAGGTCCAACAGCAGGGAGCCCGCGGCCTCGAAGTGGGTGCAGGATCTCGGAGGCGCCTCCCGGGGCGGGGCAGCCGCAGCAGTGGGACCTTTTCGGTGTCTCGCGCCGCTGACCTCCCCTGTGGCTCCGGCTCTCCCCGGAGGCGTTGCTCATGGGGACTGCCAGAGCGCAGCGCCTCCTGAGCGCCCCGCTCATGGTGCTCGGACTCGGGGTGCTTCTGGCCCCGGTCGGCGGCCAACCCCATCAATCCGGCTGGCGCTTCGCCTCCTCCGAGGTGGTGATTCCCTTGCAGCTGGGAGGCTTCGACCACAGGGATCACCCTGGGCAGCTGTCCTACATGCTCCACTTCGGGGGCAGGAGACATGTGGTCCACCTACAACTTAAGAAGCTCCTGCTGCCCAGGCACTTGCCTGTCTTTACTTATACTGACCAAGGGTCGGTCCAGATGGACTACGCCTTCATCCCTAAAGACTGTTACTACCGAGGCTATATAGAGGGGGCCCTGGGTTCCCTGGCTGCCCTCAGCACCTGTCATGGGGGTCTCCAGGGGATGCTGCAGGTGAACTCTCTTTACTATGAAATCGAGCCTCTGCCGGCCTCTCCCATTTTTCAGCACTTGGTTTATCCAGTGGAGAATAAAAAGAAAGGTCCTGGCTGGAAGTGCGGCTTAAATGACGAAGAAATAGATCGTCAGGTCTTGGAGAAAAAGGGATTGAGACAGTCAGTGCCTAGGGCAAGTCCCAAGGACAGCTGGTGGCCAAGAACCAGGTTTGTGGAGTTGATGGTGGTAGTGGATAATTTTTGGTATAAATATGCTTGGGAAAATGAAACTGAGGTGATATACCAAGTGTTAGAAGTAGTCAATATAATAGATTCCCTGTATTATCCGATGGATGCCTACATAAATTTGAGTGGAGTAGAGATCTGGACGAATAGCAACCCAATGGATTTTAGTAATGGCATAAAGGTAACGTTGGATGTATTTTCCCATTGGAAACAAGCAATTCATGAGCGTTTGCCACACGATGTTGCCCACCTCTTTGTTCGCTATAACTTTGGTATAGACAAGGGTTTAGCTTATGTTGGTACGATATGCCACAGCCTCAAATCAGCTGGCGTCAATGCATATGTTGAGGATAACTTGTTGGAATTCTCTGTCACTGTTGCCCATGGACTTGGTCATAACCTTGGCATGATTCATGACCGTGACTTCTGTATCTGTGCACAAAAGCAATGCATCATGTATGCCGATTTCGGCTTAACTGATGTCTTTAGCAACTGTAGTTATGCCAGTTATTTTGATCAATTTAGTGAACAGTTTATAGATTGTTTAGCAAATCCACTGGAGACTTACAAAATTGCCCCTTCAAAGCTATGTGGTAATCAGGTGGTCGAAGAGGGAGAAGAATGTGACTGTGGATCAGTAAAAGAATGTAGCAAGGATTCTTGTTGTAAACCAGGTTGTACCCTGAGGCCCCATGCTGACTGTGCTTCTGGACTGTGCTGTGTAAATTGTAAGATTGCACCAGCTGGAACACTTTGCAGACCCGCTAGGACCCCATGTGACCTTCCAGAGTACTGCAACGGAACTTCGGTGCTGTGCCAGAAAGATTTTTACATGCAGGATGGAACTCCATGTACTAAAGATGCTGTTTGCTATCAGAATATTTGCAGTGACCGAATTCAACAGTGTAAAGCTATCTTTGGTGAAACAGCCTATGAGGCTCCCCTGATCTGCTACAAAGAAGCAAACGTGAAAGGTGATCAATTTGGGAACTGTTCTTTAGATGGTCATACATACAGGAAGTGTGACACAGCCCATGTTTTGTGTGGAAGGCTGCAATGTACTAATGTCAAACAGATTCCCCGTTTAGAGGAATTCACTACTGTACTCCAAGTTTACGTGAATGGAGTTACGTGCATTGGAATGGACTCTCTCATAGGGAAGGATACTGGAAATGTAAATAATGGTGCAGTGTGTGGCCATGGAAAGATCTGCCTGAATAAGAAGTGTGTTGATTATTCTGCACTGAATTATGACTGTACAGCCAAAAAGTGCAATTCTAATGGTGTATGCAACAACAAGAAAAATTGTCATTGCCTAAGTGGGTGGGATCCCCCATTCTGTCTTAAAAGAGGATTTGGTGGAAGCATTGATAGTGGCCCTCCTCCAAAATGGAAAGCAAATTATGCTTTAATTGTTTGCTCTCTAGCTTCTCTGTGTCTTGGATTTTATGGGACACTAATAGTGCTTGTCTGGTTAGCAAAGTCAGCATTTGTCATCTAGAAAGGAACAGCCTTTGTATAAATAAAGTCAGGAACCAGTGGAAGAATCTATCCATATCAGATAATATCCTCTATTAGGGAAAAATTCCCATTCAGAAAAAGGAAAAAAAACCATCTACATCAATAATATACACTACAAAATGATATCAAATAAAGCTTCTGAAGGAAGTTTTGTCATGGAGTTGAACCAATCAGGATTGACCCTTCAAATATCTTTATTTACTTTTATAATG